ACATGAAATCATGGGGAAAATGGAGCAATCTTGCTGTGAGGAAAAACGAAATTGGTGGATAAAGGTTGCAGAGGAGAGGTACCGCGAGAAGAATAGACTAGTCAGGTCAGGAGTTTATGCGATGGTAGCCCACGAGGTGTGCACGTCAGGTACCTACATATGAGGCCCAAAGTGAAGGGATACAAATTCGATATCCAAGGCACAGCCCCTCTTGGAACTCCAATTTGGACCGTATTCAAGAGAACGACACTCGTCAAAGTTCGGCATCGAATATCCGAAGTGTATGGCAAACAATCCCTATCCGCGGAAATACTCCAATGAGTTATCCAAAAGGAAGGCGAGCGGAATCGTAAAGAATGGCAGAAACGACAAAGTAGTTTCCTGTTAGTCAATGATGGCACGGAAACTGGAGCGGTGTAACAAACGATGCTGGATTGATGGAACTTCAGCTCCTCTCCGCGTCTCATACACTCACCTCAACTTCCCTTCTTTTTTTTCTGCCAAGCCCTCAAACACATGCCTCTCTGTTTACCCCTCAATGCGCCTACCATCCCTGCCGAGGCCGCCTCGTGTGCACGGTGACAGAAGATTGTCCAAATCCTCGTTAGCTTCCGCCGAATGGTCTCAAGAGCAGGATATCTCCGGGTACGGTCTTTATACTGTGTGGTGTAAGTGGTTAGGGCTTTTCAACGTATCCAGACTACACATCAAGGCCCGGGTATCGATTCCCGACTATCGTAGGAAAAGAAGCTTCGTGATGGGTCGTTTTGTTGGCCTAGTCTGCGCGCCTCGGGATGTATTTGTGCTTGGTAGAGGTATGTGCAAGAGTCGGATCCGGCGACAGTTGCTAGTCGAAGTAGATCACCACGCTGGCACCTTCCAGAGATTAATGCCATGACCAGCAATTTGCCTTGAGTAGCAAGAAACCTTTGGGCCATCTATTCTTGTTGCTGCTGAGCGTAGTCCGGCGTCGGATGTCCAAGAGTGGAATGTCTGTGTAACAAGTACCACACCGTGTGAGAAAGACAGGGGGAATGCAGCGTGTGCTGTATATCCTGGGAACATACCAGGTTCCAAACATTACCATCTCACCCCCACGAAGCGGTTAGCCGTGGCGATAGAGCTACGAACAGGATGCGGCGAGTATGTTTAATCAGGGAAAAAATTAGCCGCTCCGCCCGGTCATGGTCTTCATCGATGTGCACACTATCACTCCCTTCCAGGAGCGGCAAGTCTGACGTGCAGCAACAACCAAGTCCTTGGCTAAGGCTTAACCGGGTTGATCGAATTGACCAACATGGAGAGGAACACAAAGTTAGGGCCTCCTCTGTGAACTCGATTGGCTGGCTTTTGCCGTCAGATGACCGAAATATGCAAGTCGCTGTGAAGGTGGGAAGTCGTTGCTGCCAAACTCTTGGGTGGTGAGACATTGTTTGGGAGCTTACCTGCCACATCAATGTCTTCCGTCTTGCTGACTACTGCCATACTTATGAGGTGGTGTCATGATGCTATAGTATATGCCTGATCGAGTCATGCTTTTGGCTGGCTGAGCAGAACTCGGCTTGATATGAAGTGTGTGCTGATCAGCAGCCTGAGCCATGCCATCAACTACATCCAAAATGTGCTTCATTGGACAAGCTGGCGGTGGCGCCAAACCAGAGAATTGCATGATACATGACAAGTCCAGCAGGTCAAACAACAGCGGCTGTTGCCGACGCTAGGGGAACAGCGAATGTCGAACCCGTTGATAGGATGCAAATATGGTTGGTGTAACAGTTTGAGCCTCCTACATGGGGTCTGGCCGATACCACTTGATTGGATTATAGATGACCCTGGGGCTTGTTGTACCTTGGCCGCTGGGGGCTTTCGCGGGGAGCATGTCCGCCACGTGGAGGACTTTTGACTGCTCGCGTCTTTGACCATGTCAAGAGGCGGAACGGCTACTGCGATGGTCCCGGACCCGTTCGCCTTGCTCTTGTCCGTAGACTTTGAAAATCATCGGTGAGAGGATCAACTGCGGTTATGCGAGAGAGTGAGCATTCTACAGGTTGACCCTGTTATGGTCAAGTACACTTGGGCATCTCTACTCTTGGCCCTGTCGGTATGCGCAGGAACGTTCGATATCGAGTCGGGGGCAATGACGGGTTCAAGCTTCAGCCCGTGGCTGCCTTGTCGCGTCGATATCTCAGAGGCTGAGTGGGGAGGCTATTTTCTAGGTAGTGGCTAGACGTGGTTATTAAGGAGTGCTACACAAGACTTGGGGAGAACTGACCGTGACCAATATCTAGCAGCACCTGCCACGCTATTGGTTGCGCCAAGAGCTACCTATACGGACCGAGGGCTGGTCAGCTAGTAGCAGCTCGACAAATCTCGGCACGTCTTCGGTTGCCAGTGGCCGCTTTGGGTGCGACATGATATCTTGACCGAGTGAAGTGCCTGACGGAAATAAGGGGGACGGTAGGGGCGTGATGCGTGGACAGTGGGGAAACGGCAAAGGAAAATTGCGGGGAAGTTGAAGTGATGTGATGGGGGACGGTTGAGGAGTGAAGTAGACGGCAAATTCCACATTTTGTCAGTGTCTAGGGGTGGGCGGACTTGAAGTTCCGGGACACGACCTCCTGGAGCGCAGTTGGTAAAGGAACAACGTCGTCGGCGTCAAAGTGGGTGGAGAGGGGGACGGATCATGAAGAGCGAGACGATCGTAAGGTGACAAGGCGCTGATCAATTGCGTGGCAGAACGAGAGGGAACCGATTGAGAAATCTATGTCGTGAAAGGTACAACATAGGAAATTGAAGAAAATGTCAAGTTGAGAATTCAGTTGCCGTATTGAATTTCCGTCGAGTTGACACGAGGAAGAACGACACCGAAGTTGAAGTGACGTTGGAAGTTGCGTTGGATCTGCTTGGCCGGTGCGCAAGCTCCATAGCCTATCAGCTGGGATCTAGTGACGTGAGTGATCTATCAAGCACTAACAGAAGCACCGCAGTTCTGACCCCAAGATCATCAAGTACGGTTAGCAGCAAGGCACCTCTTGCTAAGGATCTAACAGTAAAATGAGGTAGTTGAAGTGATATATCCATCCATTTCAATTACCATAGTACAAGCTGAAGCACAGACCCCTTTGCCCGCCTTTGACTTGACATCAACCTCAACTTGTCCCTCGGCCATCCATTTCGGATCCAAGATCCCGCTTGGACGCCATTTTCAGTCACCTCATCCGTAGTTTACCCGTACCTCAACCGCACAGTCAGAGCCAGATCCCAAGGTGCATTTTCGGTCCCAACACAAAGGCTCTCACCAAGAGACATGCAGTGCATCAAGCCTTGTTAGGTCTAGCCGCGCCAGTGGCTTGCATACGCCGATGTGTCGTTGCATTTGGTTGTAAGTATACTGTCTACAGCTGAGTGTAGACGTACGGCCTTGAGCTTGTCGGTGATTGGAAGGTGACTTGTAGCAGACTACCTACGTCGGAACCGAACCACTGTCCCACGACGTTATTGTCTTTACGGATGATATGGGATCAGTCAATGGCCCTGACCCAAAACCCATCACCATTTTCCAAGTGTGCCCAAGACAAGGGAATAGACAAAGGCAAGGTTGACGAGCTTCTACAGCACCGGGCGGTTCCGGGCACTGTATATCACAAACGATGGGGACAAGTGAACGTGGGGGTCTCGTCAACCCCGCTGTCCGGCTGCTGCTGGGATTGTCCACCACGGTAGCTTCTGCGCTCTTTGAGGAATGCCGATCGACTGGACTGGGGCCCAAAGAGACGCCTCTAGGAGGAGGGAAAAGTGTTTCATCTTCATCACGCCTGAAGTCGGTGATGCTGTGTGACCAATGACCAGACCATGCCATGCCATCGATGCATCGCAGTCCCGCAAAGGCAGCACACAGTATTGCAGGATGCTCTGAACACACGTCAAAACCTACTTCTGCTCTCTCAAGCTGCCAACAGAACACACTGGTCCTTCCCCGTCGGGCTTCACAGATCCGAGGCTGTGAGAGTGTCAGCATCGGAATGGTTTCAAATTAATTTTAGCCTAGACCACGATATTCCAGTCACGCGACCTGTTCCTAGGTGAAAGGTGGCCGAATTATGTTTACACCAAGTATAGTAATGCGTGCGTGGTTTGCTAGCAGTAACGACGGTGCACAGTATATGTACGGTACCTACAAGGAGGCATTCGCTGTGGATATTTATCGTCGACGACCTTGGCACAGTGCTCACCGTCCATTTTCAACGACGGAGGTACAAGTACATTTTGCCAATTGAACCTAACGAAGTTTGTTGGCTCTTTCTCCGCACTTTCTTTTATTTTTTTTAATTCTTGACATTTTGGTGGTTTCTGCACTCCGCAATTCGTTTGTCCGGGGGCCCGCCCCAGATGTGCCGTAGTGGGGTACGTATCCCGCTTAGGCAAGGTACTGCGGTTGCGAGCAAAAGTAAAACCCCCTTGTCAGGTATCTTGCACGGACCACCATAGCCAAAGCTTCGTGAGCACCGTGTGTTCGACGACCTGATCCACGGGTTAAACTTACCCATCTCACCATAGTAGAACGCTCATTCACAAGGTGACACGATACAGAGAATTCGACACTTTGCCTCCCAGCGCATCGATGTGTCCAGGTCAGCTGGTCGGCTTCCGTTGTGACTTATTTATGAAGACATTGGATTCCCATTTCCACCGTGTTGGACGCGGTCACATTCCCGCCCACGTCGCCGTGCTACGACTCGGTAATCATCAGCCGGAGCGTGTTAGCGTTTGCTGTACACAAGACCCGAACTACCTATCAGCGCACTATCTAAGATACCTAGGTACTCCAGAAAACCCCCACTGCCTCGCCAGGAAGTCGCCGAGGAGTCCCGCGGCGGCAACCGTCCACTCCCCAATCCGTAGAGGTACCTGTACATCAGGTACCTACCAAAAATTGGACTGTAATGGTAGACCCAAGCTGCCGGAACCTCCACTCGGGAGTTTCAAGGCCAGGGGCAGAGATGCCATCCATGGTCCAGTCGTGGGAGGAAGGAAGGCGCGAGGGCAGTGTGAGCTCGCTCGCTGATATCGACAAATGGGATCGACCCGAATGTCAATCTGCCACTCGTTCGCTCAGCAACAACCCGGGCGGCTCTTTCTCTGGCGGGTGTAAAGAAGGAAGGTACTCAGCAGAGGGCACCTGCCGCGCGCGGTCTTCCAATCGACAACTGAAGTGGAAGCGACAAAAATTCGATTGTTTTTTTTTTTTTTTTTTTTCTCCTTTTGCTCGCCGTCAGGCAGACCGAGCAACTTGGAGCAAGACGACTCAAAAGTCGAATCTGTCTGTGACTCCATGTCCCTGGACTCTATCCGGCCGGTCTTCCATGTCTTACGTTGTCCGTCCACATCCGACACAGTTCTTTGAAGAAGACGTGCTGGCGGTCATCCTCCATTCGACATGCTTTCGCGTGCCAATCACGACTAATGTTTAATCCCCAAGTCTTCGACCTCCAGCTCAAGACCATGGCAGCTTGCCAAGGTAAGCCGGGCTCATCAACCGGGCCTCGTTCAAGTACCAGTCTTCCATTTCTTTGCACATTGCTAATTTCGCACAACTTCCATAGCAATCAACCTCGCCATGCAGTCTCTAAGTGGGAACACGCAGACAAGCAGACAAAGCAGCAGCAAGCCAGCTCTTCCAGGTCACTCGTGAATGCTGCCGTTTCCTCCCCTGTTGGCCTGTTCAACGCAGGCCGCGACACGCGCATTCTGAGTGGCCAGAAAAAGACATGCCAAAAGGTCACCTGCCCCTCCACTGCCTTCCACGCCAACCATTGACAACGCGAGTACGCCCACCAAAACGTCCTTGACCAACCCGAACTGGACTCTCGCTGCCGCTCCACGCGCAATAATTTCTCAGAGAAAGAGACGTTCGGGCGATATTCCCAGTCGAGGCCACACTAGTGAGAGAGTGCGCCATCACAAATTAACCTTTCATTCTAGATAGGAACAGGTTAAGCCTCACAACGTCTGGCTCGCCAGCGTAGGCGTAACCCTCCTAGCGTGCTCTCATTGGCTAGGCCAACATCTCTTCGCATATCGAAACCTTATGGAAGCTCTCGGGAGCACAGCACGCAGTAGCCGGAAGGCTGGCAATGACGTGACCACCGTTGCAAAACGCTTGGGGCACGAAGTCTAGGGAGACACGATACACGAGGTCGGGCAGCCCACCAAATGTATGAAACCGTCAAAACGACTACCTATATCAACCTTCAGAACATCACCTGACAAGTACCTGTAGGGTCTGTACCTCTTCTTGTCCCATTAATTGCCACGCAAACACCCTGCCAATGGCTACTTTGTGGCGCTAGCCCGCCCTAACGCCCGTCATGTTCGATTACTGACAAACCACATCCTTATGAAGCAGGCCGTTGTTGGCAGGCCGTGATTTGTGTCACCAAACATTTCTCTATACCCGATCAAGCCTCCCGGCCCGGATGACTGACCGCCAGTTGCGGAACGGGGCATGAGAAGAGAAAGACGGTATGGCCCGCTGAGCGCTGATGTCAAGTGCATCTTGTGAAGGTATCGCACAGAAGAGCGTCGACTGAGCCTCTCGTGGCCCAGTCTTCACCTTCATCTACCTTGGCCCATTGCCTTGGAGCCAAAGTCCTGGCCGAACAGTCCTTTGGTGAAGCTATGGCCTTGCCATTGTCAAGTCATCTCTTACCTAAGCCAAGATGGTAGTTGTGCTGTACAAATCCGCATGCTCACTCGACGGGCGGACACTTAGTCGAGACTCGGCCAAAAGATGCTTATAAGGTTATAGAAAAAGTTGAGCGCCGCTCTTTGCGCGCTCCCGCGTATAGTAGGTACCCGTATGCACGGCAACTAACGTCCTCTCACAATACCCTTTGTCATGATTCCACATCTTTTCAAGATGAAGCAGCCTTCCTGACCTCACTAAACAACATGTTCAAGTGGACAAATTCAATATGAACCTGGTGGTTGAGGTGTACGTGTTTTGACGTGCACCTGCTTTGAAACTCGGCTAACATCTGTAGCCTCAGATGATTACTAGGTGTGTATCAGCCGAGGGCATTAACTTGAACAACTAGGCAATTCCACACCAGATAATGTTCGGCCTAGACACCCAATTAGGCCTGCTGGGATGTCTACCGGGCCTGATGATGGCATAAGCAAAGGAATATCTTCCACACAAGACGTCACCAGCATCTCTCGACCCGTTTGGGAGGTCTGACGAAGCTCCTGTCCAAGAATATCGCGCTGATTCACGACATCGACGGGTAAGCAGTTACATGCACTACAAGTACAGTACCCCTCCTGGTCTAGTGTGAGATTTCTTGGCTAGCCTCCTTACCCATCATGGGGCAACAATGGGGTAACTCGGGGTAACCCTTGTCGACGAAGCTGGCCTGTCAGGCTAACCCCCACACTATCACCGTCCACCACAGACGGGATCCTGGGAATTGCACCCCTGTCGTATATGGGTCGTGCCTCTTCTCAAAATCCGCAAGACGGGGCCGAAAACAACGTCGCTCAAAAGTTTGGAGATCAAAGAGAGAACAAAAGTGGCCGCACTGTATACTTTGGCCGTTCTTCTTCCCTTTTGCACGAATCAGAAGGTCCCATTCCTCACCACTCCACGACCTCTGGCCCTCAGCTTGCTTGCCCGTCTCCATGTCCGTCGTTCGGCGTGGGCGGCGATGGGTCTTTGGCTCCAGTTTTGAGCAGGCGTCCACTGGAGTAGCGTCACCAGCGTAAATCATCCCAAGCGGACAAGATCAAGAACGACAAGAACTGAAACGACATTGGCATAGAATAATGGGTACTTTTTCCGTCACCGCCTTTGGTACTTGCCCACGGTTATCACTAACCGTCATCATCCCCGCTGTTTCCTTCCTCTAGTGTAGACGGTAGTCAGCCTATACACCTTTCTTCTCCCTTGCTTGGGACTTTTCTCTTTCCATCCTGGTTCCATCTTCCCATTCCTCTTAGTACAAATATCAACCACTCCGCTCTCCCATAATTCAAACGAGCTGACTTTCATTGCCCTCCACCCTTCTGTCTTTGTCCACCTCGCACTACTTAGGTCGTACATCCTAGAAAGCCCCCGATATTTCCATCATCTCCATATTCCAAGTCTCAATCAACATGGCTCCCCACAACGACTCATCACCGGCCGAAAACTTCACCAACGGCTTCAACAGAATGACTCTCCAATCCTCGGGGTCATCTAGTCTCACAGTTGAGGACCTGACAGCTGAGCTGGGCAGCTCATACGACAGCAGCACCCTGGACGCACCCGTTTCTCACGTCAAGCGACCCCTTGTCCCCGGCGTCTATGTCCCGACGATGTGCTTTTTTGACAAGGAAACAGAAGACGTTGACACCGTTACCATTGCCCATCATGCCGTTCGTTTAGCTCGCGCCGGAATTACAGGCCTAGCCACTCAGGGTTCCAACGGAGAAGCCGTCCACCTCACCCACTCCGAACGACAAGTCGTCACGGCAACCACCAGAAAAGCACTTAACGAAGCCGGTTTCTCTCAAATGCCTATTATTGTCGGCTGTGGCGCCCAAAGCACCAGAGAGGCAGTCCTACTCTGCCGTCAAGCATGGCAAGCTGGAGGAGATTACGCACTTGTCCTCCCACCATCCTACTACGCGCCTCTGTTCGCTCCTTCGTCCCAGACCATCCTCGAGTTCTTCAACGCAGTTGCCGATGCTTCGCCCATCCCGATCATTATCTACAACTATCCAGGGGCCGTCAACGGCATGGACATGTCGTCGGATATTATCGTGCAGCTTGCTCAGCACCCAAATATCGTTGGTGTGAAGCTGACTTGCGGCAACACCGGCAAGCTGAACCGTGTAGTCGCGGGTACTCGCAAGTTGTCAAAGGAATACGATCCTAAGAATCCCGACTTCTTGGTCCTCGCTGGCTCTGCCGACTTTTCTATCCAGGCCCTGGCCGCAGGTGGACATGGAATCCTCGCAGGTCTTGCCAATATTGCTCCCAAAGCATGCACCAAGACCATCGAGCTTTGGAATCAAGGAAAGCACACCGAGGCCCAGGAGATGCAGGAAGTCGTTTCGCAAGGCGATTGGACTGCCATCCAGGGCGGCGTTGTTGGAGTCAAGGCTGGTTTAGAAAAGTGGGCAGGCTACGGTGGCTACTGCAGAAGCCCTCTCCCAAGGCCGACTCCCGAACAGTCCAAGAACTGGAAAAACGGGTTCAAAGACTTGATCATGCTTGAGAAGTCTCTCTAAGCTTTGTGGTTCACATGATCGAACATTCCCGGCCGTTCATGCGAAAATCATGGCAAACAAATCTCTCCTATGTCCCGGTCATCATCAAGCATGGGTGGCGACAGCATGGCTGAACCAATCAGACGTTATTTCAGTCCGATCTTCCAGCAAGCAAGCGAGGCTTGTTATTCAGTACCAGCCTTGTCTTTATTTCCGTTCATGAATTTCATATCTCTAGGCGTTGTTGAGGGGGGTATATAGGCCACTGCGGGTAGCAGAAAGATGGGAAAGCTCAAGATAGAGAATCCCTCGGCGTTGGGTCAGGGGCACAGGTTATGGGTTAATCGGGTCAATGGGCAAATTTGCAGAACGGTTGTCAGAAACCGCACTGCTACATGAGGAATACCTCTTTTCAGTCACTCTTGCCTTTCATTCCACGATATGTTACGGTGACACTTCACATGGTCGCAGATATCCCAAGGGTTCATTTCTCTCCATTTTATCCATCCTTGTGTTTTAGTCAAAAGCATTGCTTTGTTTATCAATAAGTCGTTGCATAAGAGTCTACGATCGTTCACACCAATTAGCCCATGTCCACTGATACGATAGTTGAGCTATTAGAACTTCGTTCACTAACTGCATTGGAGCAAGAAACGCCTAGAACCTGCAAAAGACAAAGTTGTGCACAAGTCTTCGATTACACAATCTGGGATTTCCGTTTCTTTTCTTCCGGCCACGAATGTCTTGTGGGCGTGGCCATTTATCTAGCCGAGACGGGTCCAGGTGGTGGACTGGCCTCCTTTGTGCTACGAGGCACAAGAAGTTGCAATGCCAAGTGGGCAAAGGCTAGCTTGTGGTTCAATACGGAAGCAAACATGGGCTCATATTGCAAACCCAATCTTTCTGGCACGTGAATAGCGCAGGGACATGGACACCAGATTGGGTCATGGTACCAATATTGCCCTTGTTGCACTGGGATAACCTGGTCGGTCATCCCAAATCTTTGACTTCGCTAAGCGCAAGTGAAGGCAAGGTACGAACTGGCACATGTGAGGAACCGAAGATGAAGTATTGCTATCGACATAAAATCTAAAGGATGGCATCAGTTCGGAGTACATCGAACCTCACTGAATACACTCCTGTTCCCGCCTAGCACGACGAACTACCAAGACTTCATATCGCCACTTACGCAACCTCAGCTAAGGATTTTCATTTCACCTAGCAAAGAACCTTTGCTTGCGCATAACCTGGCCCAACATTTGGAGCCCAATCTAGCAGCATGCATGAGCAAGACTCAGGAGTCATATGAGTCAACAGTCGTAAGTTGACCACGGGAATAAGCCATGATGGTTATGATAAGCAAACTTCGCTTAATGAGGGCGGCGATCTACCCGTACCGTCAAATCTAGTGGTTAACCTACGACATAAGACGCTCTATGCTGCAAATAGTTCTGGTATCACAAGAGGGGGCATGTTATTACACTGAGCAAGCCACGGGTAGGACATCTCTAGAGAGCCCGAGCAACTGCCTTTTGCGATATCGGCTTCCAACGTAGATCGTCATCGGGTTCAGTCTTTCCTGATTCCCTAACTTGTGTGAAGTGGACTGGGGGCGAGGGAACTGGAGGGGGGAGTGGCATAAAGCTATGTCAAAGGTTCAAAACAAGTAAACAACCCACACATCTGTTGTTACACCACCTCTAAACAGCATCGAAACAAGTCTTTTGCTGTAAGTCTTTGTACAACCAATCAGGGGCTTGTTGCCCCATCAGCCAAGCAGAAGACTCCAAATATTCACACCTACATAAACTAGTGTCTCACCGGCATGTCGGTACCTTCCGACGGCCGGGTAGTGCGGTATTCTTTCTAGCATCCGGCGGGAAAGAGAATAAAAATGTGAAGTATGACAAGGAAAGATACGCTAGTGGAAGGCAACAAGAACGGAGGTAGGGGAAGTACATTGAAGATATATGAGTCTTCTCAAGAGCCTCATCAGGCCTTAACGCCTTGTTTCATTACCCTCCCCCAACTTTTGTCCCCGTTCCTTTTGCTTATTCTTTCCTGCTTACGGGCGGGACCTTGCACGAAGGAACTCCGGGGAAGAGGTGGGTAAGGCCACCACGGGATGACGCCCCCCACGCCCAGGGGCAGGTATGCAAGAACCGCATCCAAGAAATCATAAAGGGGGACCGAAAAGCAAGTAAGGCGTTTGCGAAGTGGTGGGTACCTCTATGGAGGAAAAGGGTGGGTAAGAAAAGGGTTAAGCTTGAACCCGTTGCTATGGGCATCACCGCCATAAACACACATCAACCCCCACCAACTGCAACCAGCGCGGGAGCAGCACAGTGAATGTACCAGACTGTGAGAATGCGGGATTCCTACCCTTCTTTTTCGGCGAAGGGCGGAGAAGCACGACGCAAGATGGGACAAGGCAGATATTCCCCTTGCAGCCCGCGCGAGCCTCTTTGGCCAACGGCTAGTTGCTGTCAGTAGCATGGTGACGAGAGTTTTATCTACCAATCATCCTTCCGTCTATCCATCCATCCACAAATCCATTTCAGAGGTTGGTACATGCACTTGCACAAACACCAATCCATCTTCTTTCTATTTGGGGTTTCATAAGAGAAGAAGAACCCCTCACCACCATCAGCAGATCACTGGCGGCACCATCGCTTTGAAATTCATGCTTACCTACGTGTGGCGCCAGGGTTGTATGAATGAGACACACATACGGGAAGGCGCATAACACCCTTTACCTCCTTGTCGCCAGTCGGTGTGGAATCCCCGTGGTGGCAGCCGTTGGAATGCGCTGTTCACAACATCACCCACACAGCCGAGACCACAGACCATGTTCTTCACTCTCCACCTTCTACCCTCTCGTCTCGTTGTCGACTGCAAGCGCCCGATGAGACATTCTAGCCGAGTCTGCCGAGTTGTCCATCTTTGCGCGACACAGCATACGAAGAGTAACTGGCCATCCTGCTTATTCTCGTCTTCTTCTCCTTTCTCGACAGCCCATGGTCTCCAATCTGGCCGCTTCATCTTTTCTCCCCCCTTCCTGTCTTTACAGATGAAGAGAACTTATACGAGTTGCGGCTGCGAGTTACAGAATATGTGTGCTCCTGCAAGCCTCTTCACCGCTAACCATGCGTCAGAGCTGGATGTGGTTGTGTGTTTATGTCGGACATTTTCTTCTCATCTCATTGGCGCGTTGTCTGTCGTGTGTTCATACTCCCACTCTTGTCTTTTGGCTGTCTTTATTCAAGAAGGAAGAGATCACAAAAAGTTTTGGTCATATCGTTACAGCGCTTGCACGCGCGCGCCCGGAAAAGAGGCTGGGCTGGGCTGGGCTGGGTTTGGTTAGAGTCGTTCGTTTTTTATTTTCGTCGTCATCAGTTCAATAGGGAACCAAGTACCTGAGCAAGCAACTGTGCTATTCACTGGTACCCAAGGAGCCACTGCGCTTCTGGAACCCTCGTTTATCTTTCCGTGCTCCTTCGGTTCTTCCATCTCGTCCTGTTTGTACCTGCTGGACTCTGCTGTGGTGGCTATTGTTCTCAGACCCATGACTCTTAAAGGGCCATGGGAAGCCAATTCGTCATCCATTAATATGCAAGAGGGGTGCCCGTTGATACTCGCTTAAAAACTAGCTGCGCTGTCTTGATTCCATTTTTTCGCGACTTCATTTCCTTCGAGCGAGTATTTGAGGAGCGAGGAAAAGAACTTCTAGGGTTGTTTTTTTCTCGAAGGCAGAGGTGAACTACAAACAAATTCAATAACCAAGCAATACCCTTCGGCCGATACCAGACACTTGTCTGTCACTTCTCAACTGATACCAACACGCGAGCAATTAGAACACATTGCCCAACCATCCCTTTCCACACATCCCGGTACCACGCCGGGAACCCTTTCCCAATGGAGGTTACCGCAAGGAGAACAAGGAGGATGATGGGGAAGAAGAGGAACTTGGATCTTACACCATCGACTTTTGGACTCATACCAATGGTCACATCTACCCTCCTGCCACTCCTCCTATTAATCAACAGCTTTGCCTCGCTAGCCGCCGCTCAAACAACACCGATTCCGGTCATCGGCGTCAAGACGGGTGTCGATTCCAGCACGGGACAGAGACCAATCAGGAGGAACATCAATGATCTCTACGCTAGGGGAGGGCCGCAATGGTAGGAAGAAGTGACTGTCTCGTGGGGGTCATAGTATCTACATTGACTGTTCCCCCAATATTGGCTGATGGCTGACTGACTAACTACATTTGATTAGGGACCTCTACATTTTGGCACTGTCGGAGATGCAAGCGATGAACGAGTCGGAGGAGCTGTCGTATTTCAGTCTGGCAGGTAAGTGTGAATACGTACACTGGAGCGGACAGCTCACCTGCAGTACAGTGGGAGGGATCATCATGAAGCTGACTTGCATTTTGAAAAGGTATTCATGGGTTGCCGCACGAAGTATGGAATGGAGTTGAGCAGGTTGAGGGTGCACCTGATACAGGGTATTGTCCTCATGGAGTGAGTGTTGTCTCGGACTCGATTATCTCTTGAACACCCATGACTGTCATGTATACTGACTGGTAGCAAAAACACGCAGGAAACCATCTTTGCTCCATGGCATCGGCCATATGTTGCTCTCTTCGAGGTATGCAAGTACCAATCGTAGTCTTCACTAACCCCATGTCTCTGACTGTGATCACCTCAACCCTCATACCATATCTCGCTCTCCAGCCCACCACTTCGTCCCACCCCCTACTCCCATCAGAGAGCGCCGCAATTCACGCGCCATATTCCACACTACACACTCCCCGTATCAACCACCAAACTAACCAATCCACCCCCCAAAACAGCAAACCCTAGTCTCCCACGCCCTCGCCATCGCCTCGCGCTACCCTCCCTCCCTTTTACCCGCCTACACGGACGCCGCCCGCACGCTCCGCCTGCCCTTCTGGGACTGGGCTTCGGACCCTTCGCTCCCTTACGCAGTGATGAACGATAGTATCAAAGTCGGCAACACGCCCAACTCTTCCTTGGCTTCCTTATCCCCACCCAACACCAACGGCACCGGCGGCGGGAGCGGTGCGCCTTCGGGAGCGGTGGGTGTGCAAGTTAGGAACCCGCTTTATAGTTATCGGTTTCAGGAAGGGAGTGTGATGTACCAATTCGACAATACCTTGGGACTGTATCCCCAGACCTTGCGGTGCAAGTTTGAGGATTTTGCGGAGGATAACAAGACGGTGATTAAGAGGTGGAGCGAACCGTGGGTGGCGGAGGAGGGGATGAAGGAGGTGGGGGGACAACTGAGGGATAGTGTGGTGAGTTTCCTTTCTTCTCTATTGGTTTTGTTGTATATGTACCCTTATGGGGGTTGGTTCGATTGAGCGGAGGAGACGGTTGCCGATGACTTGAGATGATTCTGGTTCCCAAGGAAGTGTCAAGCCAGGAACTGGCAGCTTCGGAAATAATGGTTCATGGATCACGGCTCTGACGGAGCAGAGCGTAGGACATGAGCACCCTACTGTTGCGGATAGAGATCCAACTGATGGACCCCAGGTTAAATGATCATTCTGCTAATCAATAAACCTTTATAGTACGATCTATTTGTCCGACCCGACCCCAGAGGATGGGGAGCTGGGGGATTTGAGGATCCTCACAATACAGTGCACAACAATGCGGGCTGTGGAAATGGCACCATGGCCAACATTGCTTGGTCGGCTTTCGATCCTCTGTTGTAAGTATCTCCCTCAGTAACAGTGTATGCCTACCTCCGGTCCACTAACCAGTCTTCAAACCCCCAGTATGCTTCATCACGCCAACACGGACCGTCTCATCGCCCTTTGGCAAGCAATCTACTACCAAAACGCAACCTTCAATTACTCATTCCCCTCCGGCGGCCAGCTTGGTACCAAAAGAGGGACCATACTCACGGCCGACTCCCCCCTCAAGCCCTTCCACGCCGAGTTCCCTGCCACAATCGGCAGCGGCAACGCCACACCACCCTCGGACGCGGGAGGTTTCTTCCACACTAGTAACTCGGTGGCGGGCCTACGGACGTTCGGGTACACTTACCCTGAGCTGAACACGGATTGGCAAACGCCCGACAAGGATAAACTAGCGGCTCAAGTGAGGCAAGCGGTTAACAAGTTGTATGGATCTAGCGACGACGGCAGTGCGGACGATCAAGGACAAGCGGGCGTTTCAGAACGGAATGTTGACTCAGACACGCTAGATGAGGAGGAAGATGACACCGAGAACGACGGCGGAAAGAAAACCGTGGAGAACAACAAGATTACATTCCGTCGCTCTCGGTCCCGATCACGGTCACGGTCTCTTTCTGCCTCCTCCAACTACAAGAAGAACGAAGAAGAGGCAGAAGGCACCACAACCACAAGCAGAGACGACGGCAAACAAACGGAAGAAAACAACAAAATCACGTTCCGCAGTTCTCGGTCCCTTAGCAATTCCAACTCCAGTCCCAAAAAGAACATGAAACAAAAGCGACAAACCTACGGCAGCCAATCTCCTACTAAAAACTACTACTACACCGCCGAGCTCTCTGTCGACCGCTCCGAAGTGCCTCTACCCTGCACCATCTCCCTGATTGTCAACGGGGTGGTCATGGGCCGCATGGCACTTTTGGGCATGCCGATGGAGGGAATCGCGAAGGCTAGCATGCCGTTGGCGAGGCCGCTTAAGAATGTTGTGAAGATTGGAGAACAGCAGCAAGGGTCTCAAAGTCAAAAGAGGGGGGTGGACGAGGATGAGAAGATGGTTGGTGGTAAGAGGAAGGGGAGGTGGCCTTCAACGTCTAGGCATTCAAATATCGAGAAGGTGAAGCCGAAGAGGGGGTTGGGACACGTGGATATGACTCCTAAGAAGATCATTCCGTTCTTGAAGGGAAATATGACTGTTGAGATTCGATCGGTAAGTTTAACTCTTTCTTTTTTCTTTTGGCCTGGATACCTTCTATCTTTCTCTCCTTGAGAACTTTTGAATTTTCCTTCCAAATACTCCTTCCTCTTCACTCCACTCATCACATTTCCTTGCCCTTCTCTTCGACATCCCCTCTATAACCCCTTCCCTCTCCCCCAGTCATCACTTTATCCAACTCCCATCTTCAACTTCTCAGCACCACTCCTTCCTCCCTCCATCAACATCCAGTCCCAACTCCCATTCCAGTCCAACAAACATTACATCAGAAAACTAACCCCACCCCTCAAAAATAGAACGACCAAACCCTAACCGACCCATCCACCGTCCCCTCTCTCCACCTCGAGATCCAAGACTGGGAATACTTCCCCCGCAAAAACGCGAGCGAGTTCCCCATCTTCCAGAACCCCCGAAAATGGCCGATGGGGATTCGGGGACCGGGAGGACATGGAGGGTACGGCGGAAGGGGACACTAAGTACATACAGCAGCTCGAGCAGTTCCAGGTTGTTTCGTTGGGAAGGTAGCGCGAGCTCTGGGATGGAGGATGGAATAGGAGCATAAGGGGATGCAAAACAAGGGAAGGCAAGGGAAGGGAAGGGAGGGGAAGGGAAGGAAAAACAGAGATGCGGACAAGGAGGAGATTTGTTCTGCTCGCTGAGGTGACTGGCTGCGAAGACAGTTTTGATCTTTAACATGAACTCGCTTTGATCAACATTCATGATTTTTCGTGTCTTCGATGGAAATATTTGATGAAGTCGTCTTCTATGCTTTTTGGTTTCATGAATCATTTGGCGTTACTTTGGGTTAGAACAGTCTCTCTCTTTCCTGACATCAGTCTCTTGACACCGCGCCTTCCACTTGTCCTTTATCTCAGCTAAGGGTCAGTTAGGTAGGTAGGTACCTAGGTAGGTAGGTATGTGGCATCCATACCTAATATCGCATCGTGATGTTCTTCATACACATACCTTCCCACCCGATTACCTCTTACCGGTCAATACAATGGCTCCCTTCCCCGTCAACTATTATGCAATGTACCCTTCTTCCTTCCTTCCTTCCTTCCTTCCTTCCTTCCTTCCTTCCTAACGGCAACCCACACATCAGAAAGCATGAAACAACCAATTGCTTGGCTTACCGCACTGCACCTTCCCCCAACCGTGTTCTCCTGCCCTTCATAACAGAGTTTTCTTTGACATATAATCAACAAGTAAACCAGGGAAAAGAAGCGCGGTTAGTATAGCGGTTAGTACTCTCGTTTCCCAACAAGTAGCCTATCCATGGGCGAAAAAAAGAACGAGTGACCCGGGTTCGACTCCCGGACTGTGCAATGACTTCTCTCTTTTCCTTTCCTTTTTAGATTCTTTTTGTTTTTATACGTGTTTTTTGCTTCGATCCTGTGCCAAAGACTCTCTAATCGTTCCTTAACGGTATCTGTACCCTTGTTTCCTCGCGGCCCATGTCTTTCAGGACCAGATATACGACTTGAATGAAAATAATGAAATACGGGATTTCTTCTAGGGGTCGTTATCAGTTGATATATCATTGATGATATCTGGACTATCATCGAAGCCTACAGTTCTAACAACTATAGATCGTCGTCCCGATCATCATCAGGAGGGCAGTCAGATCCGCCAGAATGGCTTCTATACCTGTCTGTGTCGCTCGTGGCCCAGCTCTCTCAAGGAGCAACATCCTTGCGTAGACATCCAATCCAATCCCATGTCTCTTTCATAATTCACCCGTTACGCCAAACTCCCAGAGCCGACCCGATCCAACCCAGCATACCACCATCCACAACTCCGTTTTCTCTAAGCCATCCATCATCCAGTTCCCGCCAACCAGCCAAATTACGCCAGACATACAACATCATCATGGATAACAAAAACAAAGTCCTTTCAGGACCGCCTGCCGTATATACAGTCAACAGGTCATAGAAACAATTGAAACAAAAAAAAGAGCCAGAAATAGCCAACGAGGTGTGAGGTAAGAAAGGTTCGCAGTTGAGGTTCTTTTGCTTACTTCCGGTTCCTCGTCTTCTTCTGCGTCACAGCCGTCTCCTCCTCCACCTCATCCTCTCCCTTCTTCAGGTCTTCTGTCAACCCCCACTCTTCCTTGTCGTACCAGTCCTCGCCGTCCGACATGTCGCGGTTGGGTCCGCTGTGAGCCTCGGCCTTAGCCCACGAGAGCACCGTTTGTCGGTACCGGTCTGCTTTGCGCAGACCCTCGTATAGCTTGCGGGTGCCGCGACAGACTTCTTCCTGCTTCTGCACGTACAGCTGGAGCAGGCGGCGAACGTCTTCGGCTTCTTGCTCGGGGAGGCCAAAGTCGCGGTCTGGATGGGAAGTTCGTGGGGCGAGAAAGATGGGATGGATATATGGTTCTTCAAGAAATTCCTGGAGTGCCGCTACTGATGCCGCGGTGCTGAGCGCAGCATTACGTTGAACATTAGGCTTGGCTCGCAAATCCTCTACACCATGAACGACCCCCTCCCCTTGAGGTTCTTTGTCTGTTTGTTGTCGCTCCAGATTGTGCCCCGGTTGATCTGGGTTCGTCTCTGGCTCGGCACCTGAGACCGCTGGTTGATGTTCCGCTGCTTCCTTTCCAGTTTCACCGTTGGGCGCATTTGCCATTTCCACGTCTTTAGATGCCGCCGTTGCTGGCACTGTCTGTCCATCTACCGGTGCCGGTGCCGGTTGATCTGGGTTCGTGCTTTCGTCCACCTTTTGTGCGGTCGTTTCTGTGGGCACTGTCTCCGGCTGCGCTTGTTCGGGATCCCTGCTTATTTCGCCGTTGGGTTGCGGGGCCTCCGCCTTGGAATTGCTGGTCGCTGACTCGGTTGCTTCTGTAGGTTCGGTCATCTCAACGTCTTCATCTATTGTCTTCTTTCCGTTGACCTTTGGCGCGCTGCCCTCTTCAGCTCCCTTCTTCTCGTCAGAATTTGCGTCGGCATCAGGAAGTTGTTCATCGTCAGGGACTGAGTCTGGTAGAGGCTTATCCCCACTGTCGCCATTTGTCTGGCTAGACTCCTTTGGTTTCGAGGCCGATGCCTCATTGTTGTTGCCACCAACAGGCCTGTTCTCGGTCGCCTTGGTATGGTTGCCAGCTGATACGGCGTCAGCAGCATTCGGGATCCAGTTGCTGACCCATTTGATGAAGCTCGAGGTATCCTCAAAGAGATCATGGTCAGTCGATTCAATCATCATGCCGCACGGCGCCCACGAGTTGTCGCCGACGAATTTGGTGAGCAGCGGTTTGACCTTCCACAAGGCAACATTTTCTCTTCGGCTGAGGGCGGCGGCCTGATGTACGAGTTCGGTAAGGGCTTTCGATTTGAATGGTCGGGACAGGGTCGGGTGATTCGGTAGGTCGGTGACGGATGTAAGGGGCGCGAGGAGTTCTGTCGAGACTGAAGTTAGCACGTCGACTCACATGGACAAGCGCATGTTGTCTCCACTCACGTTCTAACCGGATCGAAGCGTATGGGTTCTCCTCCATAGTAGCGCTGATTGCCTCCTGGACGCGCTCTTCGTTGTCGTCACTATCGATATCGTAGCCGTCCTCGTCGATGAGGAGCGGGTTCTGGTTGATGATGGCGCGTTGATAGCCCGCATGTTCGGCCACCTGGTGGCACTCAAAGAGAGAGTCAGTCTTGGGTGCGTCCCCTTCATTTGTTCTTGCTGGTTCCCCAACGTAGGCTGACACCTTGTGCATGCGTGTAGGGTTTCACACACCTCCTTGTAGGCGGCTGGTCCATTTGCGTTGGCAAGACGGCCTTGCTTGACAAATCGTGCGCGTTTCTTGAGCTTGTAGCCTCGGTTCGTGTTGTGGTCAATTGACGAGTCGGAGTCGGATTCTGTTGAGGATGAATGGTGGACATTGTTAGACACGGAAAGCAAAAACAAGAGGGCGATCATGGCAACGGGAGATGGTGAATTGAGCTTACCATAAGCTTTCCTTTTCAGCGTCTTCCTTATGGACACAATGGTGTCCATGATCATGGCCTGCTGTTGCGTCGACATGGTGTGTGGCGGCGGGCGCAGCTTTGCGCGATCGACCGGTGACAGACAGAGTGCGACGACGGTGATGTGGAATAGCACAGAGAAGTAGGGTTGTGGAGCGTGGGTGCTGCTAATTGCTTGATCTTTGGGAAGTGGTGAAGATTATCGAGTATGGCTTGCCCAGATCATTCGCGATCAAACCGAAGACTGTATGGCCGCGGTGGTGGTGGTTGTCGAGGTCTGGAGGAGAAGGGCACAACTGACCTAAGTCGAAGAAGAATGGCCGGTGGAATGCGGATGGCTGTGAATCGTAAACCAAGAACCCTGCTCGTTCGCTGCGCTTCAGTGCTCGGGTTCCCGCCCATACGGAAAGCGGGGAGCAGCGGCACAACTTCCACTTCCACGGCAGGCTTTGAACTTGTTACGTAATGTGACTATGGCGATAGCTCCAGTCAGAGTGCCTATCCTGATAGTACGCACACTATATAAACGGCACCTCAGCCCACTTTTCATCATCACCAAACACAGAAAAGGAGAATGTAAACAAAGAACACATCTGGATCGTAGTCCTCCATCTACACGAGAAGCCCTCCATGCAACACTTGTCAATGATGCACAAGCACACGATAAATACCGAGCCAGAATGATTCACAGAAGCTTATGACCGCCTATTCCACTCGCTCGATGTCTTCGAGTTTGAGAACAGCTGCATCAAGTTATCAAGGCCGGACATGACAAGAACAGCAGACTTCACATAACAAATACTCGTTATCATTACCTACTGATACTCATTAACCATAGCTACTAACTGACATCTAGTGTTATCCAGCATCATCAAGCGCTCTCTGAAGAGCATGCGTTCACTATGAGATAGGACAAACGCGCACACACCCTACTCAAACCACCTCGCAGCCCTACCCACCAGACTTCTCTTAGACTCCGGCTCCGCTGTCTGACTTCTAGCCGTCACTGGACTCCAATCCTTCTTCTCCTTATACCAAACCCCATTAATCACCACGCCTTCGCCCATCAAGATCGCCATGACCTGCTCCTGCGTACAAGTCGACCCCAGATTCCTCACAAAGCACTTGGCGCTCACATCCTTGGGAGCCTGGAGCTGTTTATCAGCCTTCTTGGGTCCCCGAGTCGCAAAGTCCCTCAGGTTGACTCTAGCACCCGTGGCAACCGATTTACCGCCGATAATGCGCTCAAACACCCGGAACGCCGTCTCAGGCTGGTAAGCAGGCACGAAATGACCTGACTGATAAATCCTGCTGAAGCTGAGATTGCCAAACTGCCTCACCACTCCGCCGACCTCCCTGTTATTGGTCTGGATGTTCTCGTACCCAGCCTGCGGAAACTTGGTCGGATACGGGCTCTTGGGATCCAAATCCTTCATGGCGTCGGCAAGAGCCAGAGACACGGCTTCGCCGCCCATCCAGTTGCAGATGTAATCGCGGTCGCCATACACCAGACCGACGCGCACGCCACGCTGCAGAAGTGAAGCTAGCTTGGCGATCAACCCGCCGCGAGCCCTATCGCCGGTTTGGAAAAAGGCTTGGTAGACTACGGGCGAAATATCCGTGTAGTTGACCACGGACCCGATAGCCTCTTGCACGCGGCGCGAGTTGAGGTACTCGAGGTAGTGGTAATCGGGAAACGCATCGGGACCCATGTGCGCAATGTCGTAGGCGTTAGCGCCGCTGGCGAGCACGGAGCCGAGCAGTTGTTGGCAGGTGAGCGAGGCGTAGGCGCAGACCTGGTTGACGGTTTCGTCGGTACCTTGGTCCAGCGGGTCGAGAGCGGCTTGGGCTTGGCGGCAGGCGAGGATCAGGTCTTTGCAGCCCGTGTCAGGGGCGTTGAAACCCGAGGTGATGGCGTCGGCCGTGGCTTGGTCGATCAGCTTGATGCCGTACGTGTTGTTGATGGCCATCTCGACGTAGCGGGAGCCTTGGACGAGGTCGTCGATGCAGCCGTTCATGATGCCAAGCGAAGTGAGTTTGATTTCGCGGTTACCACTGCCGCCCTTGGGGGGACGGGATTGGATATTGTTGGCATCATCCTGTCGTCTGGAAAGAGGCATTGCGCGCTTTGAAAGCTTGTCATTCTCCTTCTGCCAGGTGTCGGCAAAGACAGGCCCGTAGTGGCCGCCATAACTTTCCGTAAAGAGGTTGACGCCCAACGGGCTGTACTTGTCCGGGACGTACTCGGGGAAGGTGCTCAGGAACCCCTGGAGCAAGTGGTAGACGGCCATGGCAGCATTCTGAGTCGTGTTGGCGGTGTTTTGGATGTTGTTTGAGGAGAATGTGCCGTTGAGAAAGAGGCTGGGAGGCAGGTTATCAGGCAATTGCATGTTAGGCGACACCATCCCGGTCGTCAAGTCCAGAGAACCATTGGTGGGAGTATCGTATGAAAAACCGACATGGTTGGGCTGGTCGACAAAAAGCATGTTGGAGGCTCTGTCCCAGCCCCATTCTCTGGCGGCCGTCTCCAGGCGGCTGGCGCCCTTCTCGACGACCTGGCAAGGGCCATTCTCGGCGAACAGGCCAAACATGGAACTCGCGCCGGGCCCGCCGTTGAGCATCATTGTCAGCGCAGAGGTTGGCTCGCGGGCACCAACAAACCAGAAGAAGAGGTGTGTTGGGTACTCGCCGGGGACGGTAACCCAGCCGGTGTACTGCTTCTGCCGTCTGAAAGCAGTCGTACAGACATCCTTGGGTTCTTTGTACGAGATCTTGATGTTCGGGTTGGAAGGTGAGGTGACCGTCTTCAAGCCGACAGCTTGAGATGGCGGGAATTGTGCTTCACTCAAAGGAGCGAGAGCGGCGAGTGTTGACAGGGTGAGCAGTTGTGACAATGAGGGTGAGGCTCCTTTGCCATCTCTCGTGCTGAATGGCAACCACATGTTGTTGTTTTCGACGGTACTAGATCCACCGAAGTCGAAGGATGTGTTAGGACTAATGTATGAGACGCTACATGCGGCTTTCCAAAGTATCTTTCTCAGAAAGCTTGCGAAGGTTGCGAGGAGGTTGGGAAAGCAGATGCAGCGAAGCCGAATAATGTGAAGATGAGATTACGGACTAGAGAGCGGCTTGGATACACCTTATATAAGAGTAAACATTGGGGAATGTAAATAGGAGAACCTGAATAAGAGGACACCGTCTGATCTCGTCACTAGTTTACCAGGCAGATGGGCTGTTCAGAAAGTTCAGATGGCCCAGACCTTTCGTCTGAAGTGAAGTGAAGTCAGTCAGGTGAAGTGAAGTGGAAGGACTGCTTTAAGGTAGTCCGGACTGTCCAGTGCACTGTAACTATCGCGGAGTGAACACCGCCTACAAGTACTAAAGCCTGGAGGTTTAGTTAGCAGCGAATAGGGGACCGCCAATGGCCACTTATACAGGGCTGCGGAGGGCCGCTACTGCACGAACGTTACTGGATTTGGGCCTGAATAAGGTGCATGAATAACCCAGATCATTGGGACCGGGAAACCGCATGATTTAACTTGATATGGCCCGTGCACCACGCAAGTTAACCAATTGCTTCTCTTTTTGGTGTTAGTTGTGTCTCCACCTTCCTCTTTCTCTCCTCTGTCAAGTGTCAACACATCAGCCACTTGCTCCTGGCGTGTTTCTTGCGTTCTATTTCCGCGCTTCTAGAAGAAGGGGCCTTTGTGGTCACCGTGATCCATCTGATACGATGAGGCTCGGTGGAAATTACTCCAGCTTTGACCGTCTTCGGCATGAGTTGAGATATCGGAAAGAACATATTCATGGCATTGGCATTTGTTTTCTCGTCCGGGTACCTGAACACTCCTGCGACATCGGCGCGGGACGAGCCAAAAGATATTCGTGGTCAGAAATACCGATTTTGTCCTGACTCTACCGTGCCGTAACATTCCGAGATAGCGACGTGTGCAGGCGGAAACTGACCAAAAGGAGAGGATCATTACACACAAAACCTGGCAACCAACCCCCCGAATTGTCTTCCCGGCACATTCCTTCCATCAATATTTCCAGAAGCTATCGACTGATATGCGTCTCTCAAGTGGCTAATTCTGACCACGAGGTGCACGATATGATGTCTCGCAAGAAGTTACAAGACTGTGGTATCGGCAAGGACGCCACCATCTGCAAGGCGCAGGCCCCCCCCCCCCCCCCTTGGAAGGGCCGTTCCAAGCCATACATTCCATGCGGCTGAATGAGAACAGAACTCGACTGAATGGCGAAGCGCAACAACTAAACCTTCAACATACGAGACGATAGGTACTTGTCTCTGTGTCTCACACTGGTGAGTATGTCGATGTGTATGCTGCTTGTTTCGATAACAAGTTCCGAAAAGAGCCTCCCACATATCCCAAGGCGCCCAACACAAAATCCTGCGGAGATGCCCACCATATGGAGTCCCGACTCCGACTTCCCATCCCCCTCTGGCGGGCCCTCGGCAACGGATGTGATCACGTATATCGGCATGTCCCTTGCGGTACTGGGTGTCTTGCTGCTCGGTTCAAGATCAAGTGCATGCTGCAGTAAAGCCGACTGACTGGCGACATCATCAACCGTGTGACATCAAAGTCGACGTGCTGTGGTATGCTGTCAGGCCATGGGATAGCTTCAGTAATCGGGATGAGTACTGAGGTCTTTCTACTCACCCCTCCAGTATACAAGGCGGCAGCTGGACGACTTGCAACTGGCGTACTAATGTCATATGGGCTTGAGCAGTGGACAGCCTTGGGGAGACCATCTTAGTCCCTTGATATCCAGTCCACATCATGTACCTGCTTACCCCCTTCACATGATCAGCTTCATATATTACAGAACCTATACATATAAACGTACAACGCACAGCAACATCTTAGTGCCATGCTTACGCATCCTCACTAGCCAACCTCTGCACCCCCAGAAAGTAATTGCCAACCTTCTCGCTCCCGGGAACCTCCTTCCACCCCAGCCCAGGAACATAAACAACGCCCATCGCCCTCGGCTGTCCCCAGAACCTCCTCTTTCCCTCTGTTTCCTCAAAATATCCCCTCAGCTCATACTCATTGATGTACTTGTTCCAATCATGCGTTCCCTTGGGCACGATCCCCAGCACATCCTCAGCCATGAAATTCGTCGTAAACCAACTCGTCCAAGTCCGTGCAATCGTGCTCATGACCAGCCAACCGCCCGGCTTGACAAACTTGGCGACGTGGTCGAGGAACAGAGCAGGGTGGTCGACGTGCTCGATGACTTCGAAGCACGAGACCACGTCGAATTTCTTTTCCACGGCTTCGGGCTTGAGTGTAGGGAGTGATTCGATCGTCGAGGAGAGGTACGTCAACTTGGGCGACAGACTCGGGTCTTTCTTGGCATGGGAGCGGGCAATGGCTAGGACGCCTGGGGACGGGTCGATGGCGAGTACGGACTCGGTGGTGGGCAGGCGGGCGGCGGACTCGGCGAAGATGCCGCCGCCGCAGCCGATGTCGAGATAGCGCAGTTTTTGCACGTTGGCTGTAGTGCTATAGGTGGGGCCGTCGGGAGATGGAGGAGCATGTTCGTCTCCGGAGTCCTCGGTTAGGACGGTGAAGGAGGATGTGGGTGACGAGGAGCGGCAGGTCTGGATAAAATCGTGTCGTAGAGGATTCATGAGGTGGAGGGCGCGCGAGGAGCCGTGTGGGTCCCACCAGGTGGCGGCGAGGGCGTTGAAGTGGGAGATTTCGTCGGGGTTGACGGAGGAAGAGGAGGGGGGCCTGGAGTCATTATGGTTGGAGTGCCATCGTTGTGTTGTTACTGATGGTGATGCTGTAACGGGTGCAAAGCACTGTGGTGTTGATGCTAGACGAGCAATTGTCCTGGGGTTCCGGACGCGCCGGGCAATTGTTGGTGCCAATTGGCGAAGTGGTGATGATGGCAACATATCGATGTGCTGTGAAGCTGTTGGTAAGCTTGTTCAAGCACTCGTATCTGAAGTTCGTTGAATATGTTCGAAACTCAAAAATGCCGGTGATGTAAATGTTGCGTTGTAGGACAACTTGAAGCTCCTGCAATTGGTCGCAGGTCGGCACCTGGATGGCCGATCGTCAGCAGGGGCAAGGATCGGGCGGGCACTGGCAGAAGTACCGCATTGGGCGATAAGGTGATGCATTATCGATAAGCTGATAAGAGTATTATACGATGCCGGCGCCGGCCCCCGGTTCGTGATTTTGCCATGTGAAATCAGCCAACTTCCTTGTTGACTTTGTCTTTGCCGCTGCAGGGACCGCCGTTAGTTTGCTGGCTGACCTTGGTCCGCATGTCCGTTGAGGTTCTTCACGACTCTGATCAGGTCTCTGAGTTTCAGCATGGATCAGCCCATACTCCATGGCGTTCCTCCTCCGTGTCAACTATGGCCAATGGACCGGACAGTTTCGAAGCCTAGACTAGGTAGTTGACAAGGAGGTTTGTAAGCCGCCGGTCAGCTTTTCTAAGCCTTGTGAATCCGAGTCATCCGGGTTTATATAAGATGGTGAAATATGTAGAACCATGGCGTGTATGTCATGTAGTATCTGCTTGCTCTTGAATACCCTCTCCATTTCAAACCTGGTCAACTGTCTACATATTCCTGTAACGAGCTGTACTCTCCCCGTGGCCTCGGCATCATCTTCCCGGCGACTCCTCCGCTTACTCTCGACCTCCGAAGCTCTAGAATCCCAAAGTGCGGCAAACGGCATCCCCCCGGCCCTCCACACGCACTCACGCCAAATCCACATTGACAAACCCACTTGAGGCCACCTTGAACCGAGACCGCCCGACCGCAGCGACCGGACTGGCCGCCCTAAATTAGTCGCAATCGCCAATTGCCCCTCACTGACTGAATGACTTGAGGTCCCGTCCCGTCCAAGCCAATTGCCCAATTGCCATCTTAGTTGCCCCTCCTCTTCTCTCCAAGTCTTGGTCCCTTGAGGTTGCATAAGATCGAAAAAAAGTTGAAGAGCAACCATACAATCTGTTCAGCAATTTACACGAAAAGGTCAAAGATACCCCGATATCGAACAATCCAATCAGTCGGTACCTTGCAGCAAACTACCCGCCGAAACCGCATTACAGCAGCCACCTGCGACACACCCTTCTTGCGCCTTCCACGTCATATCCCATTTACCAACACCAGGGCGCATTATCACCAAGCAATCTCGACCGGTTGCTCTTACCTACCTCTACAACAACACACAAATTCCACACAATGGCTTCCCAACAAGAATCCCGAATGGACCCGTCAGCATTTGACAGCATCCCCGACACCGTCGAGGCATTCCGTACGTTTCCAGGCCCCCCCTCCCATCCCACCCCTATGACCCCAACTAACTTTTTTCTCTTTTCTCCCCCATTAGGCAACGGCGAATTCGTCGTAGTCCTCGACGACCCCGGCCGCGAAAACGAAGCCGACCTCATCATCGCCGCCGAATCCGTCACCGCCCAACAAATGGCCTTCATGGTGCGCTACTCGTCCGGCCTCATCTGCGCCCCCATCCTGCCCCAGCGCACACTCGATCTCGACCTGCCGCAAATGGTCGGCCACAACGAGGACCCGCGCGCGACTGCCTACACCATCTCGGTCGACGCCGCCGACCCGTCCGTCACCACGGGCATCAGCGCCCACGACCGCGCGCTGGTCTGCCGCGTGCTGGCGGATGAAAAGACCAAGCCGGCGGATCTGAGAAGACCGGGCCATGTGTTTCCGCTAAGGGCGAGACCGGGCGGTGTGAGGCAGAGACGGGGACATACCGAGGCGGCGATTGATTTGTGTAGGATGGCGGGCAAGAAGCCGGCGGCGGTCATTAGCGAGCTGGTGGATGATGGACGGGAGGTGGAGGGCCAGGCCGTCAGGGAGGAGCCGGGCATGATGAGGGGAGAGCAGTGCGTGGCGTTTGCGAGGAGGTGGGGGTTGAAGGTGTGCACCATTGAGGATATGGTCAAGTATCTGGAGGAGAAGGAGGGCAAGTTGGGTGAGCTCAATGGCTCCTCGTGAGCTGCTTTGCTTGGCTGAATGTTACACGGTTATTCACAATGGATTGGAACAGGCTACATATACCTCGGGGTCTTTTGAATAACGGGATTTTTGGTTATACTGAATATGTAAGGATCACAAGCAGATGGGAACATGCCCCCCGACTTGAGAGATCGTGTTTAGACGCGGGAAACGGTTTTACATAGAGCTACACTTGGTTCACACGGCACATTACGGTACATTCTCCATGGTTATGTCACGTTGTAAATATAGCACACCTTCTCTCGTTGCCCTTGTTTGCGGCTATGCTTCGCAAAATATTGGCCTCTTCTACGCACATAGATTCGGGGCAACCGGTGTTTCGGCTTATGTGGAGGATATCAAGTTGATCGTGTGGGTGACCTAGTGCTGCCATGGAGCAAGGTGGGTGACTACGGGATTGGTAATCCGGCACGAACAATCCACCGGAGGGCCGAATTCCAATGAACCATGTGGTCTTGGGAGACAAATGTAAGGAAGGCCGCTTGACAAGGCAGTTGCTTGCTCGAGCAGTGAACTCGCAGAGCATGTTTCCATCTGCGTCCCCCGCTGGCGGTAATGCCCTTATTGAGAAGCACTGAGTTTCCGTCCCGTCATGACTTGCAACCTGGAGGATGGGAAACCAAGTCCAACAGCTTGGGAACGCAGAAAGGAGACTGAAGCAAAGGGTATAGATAACTTCTATCACGCAATAAAGTTACGAATGCCAACAGAACACTCTTCAGACAGAATGGGCATGGGAATCACGATACGTCAGGAAGGGGCCATATATAAGCAAATGTAACATGTCTTTGATTTGAATATATATCTTCATGTGATATGCAACTCGCCCGGTCGCAATTAGCACCATGGCTGTCTACGATGTGACCATAGTCACGACTCCAGAGAACCGACTTGGTTCAAAGGGCTACGATTTCGAGAATTTCAGCATGGCAATGACTCACCTGATGCTGCTCGATGGGTTGTCATGGCGATATACCAGACAATGGTTCCTAATTCCAGCATGTTAGCTTGGGATCATTGGCTTGGACTCAAAAACAAAGACTTGTTCAAGAGGCGACTCAGTTCGGGTGCCGTGTCATCGGCGTTTTTCATCAAAGGGATAAAGCCGAAGCAATATCCTATGTAGACCGTCGTGATAAATTTTATTCATCATTGTAGCCATCTTGAACAGGTGTGCAAAAAAGAAAATGTTGGCTTACCATTATCAGCAGCGTGACACAGTTGACGATGCATTGGTATTGAACCAGGGCAGACTGACTTTGTGACCGTTAGCAGGCTGTAAGGCAGAGCGGCCAAAGTAGCAGGATGCAATGGTGCAAAGATCAGACATGACAGGTGTCATCGTCGCAAAAGCTCTGACATATGCTTGTCTTTGTGTTGTCGGATCATCATGGAAGGATATGGGCAGGAAAACTCAGTGCCGAAGCAAAGAGACATAGGCACATACCAATAAGCCCATGCATCGGGAGAGAATGTGCTGCAAAATGTGGTCTGGTTGATCGTTAGTCAAGAGATTTTACTGAGAGCTGCAAAAGACTTGATCATGAAGAACAATTTTCAGAAATGCATGAATGGTATTAAAAAAAAGGTTGTCTGCATGGGGAATCCCCGATAAGACTCGTCATCTAAAGGGATCATCATGGAATCGTGTGTTGTGATGTGAGAGGAAAAAAAGTAGCTTACCAAGATCGTGTCAAGAAAAAGAGCGAGTAGTGGTTCCAAGTCCAACTGTACTCTGATGAGGCGCATTAGTCATCGCTCATGGTTCCAGATGTACTTCAAAACGTGTTGATATTGGATGCTGATCAGTGGACGAGGTTTTCTAGGCCTGTCGCAAAAATGGCATATCGTGCTCATGTGGAAAAATCGGAGCCCAGTGCCGTTTCATCATAGAAGCGTGTCGAAGAGGACAGCAAATGAACCAACTCACAATTAGTTGCGGCACCACTACTGAGCGTGACGAAAGGATGTCTCTACATCTGAACCAGGAAGTCAGCACATGGTCAACAACCAAGGTTTGTGATCACATCGAGAGGAATGTAGTGCTTTCAATCAGAAACAGCCATTTTATGTTTTCATTGGGTATCAATCGGTAATTCCAACTTGCAAAAGCAAAGTTGATCATCAGGAAAGCGAGCGGGAAAATAATGTGAGAACCAACCTTTTCATGTCATGACCGGGAGGGAGAAAAAGACACAATCAATGGGTAACTCCGAGGACCAATACTAACGCGGTCGACCGCAAGATCATGTCTCTCTCTCCTCTCCCCTCCCCCCAATCGCCCAATCCTATGCTCTATAGCCCATGAGAGCGTGATGTTCGATATCGCTAGAAGCACTTCGCGATGGTTAGCCAGATTGTCCAAGACAAATGGATGATGTGCGACGCGAGTAGGCGGATACGTTGTCATTCAGACTGACGTACATATCTAGTTGCATTTCCCGTAGGATCAAAGACTCTAGTTTGCGGTTTATGGTTGTGTCATCAGGACATAGGGGGAGGATGTGGTTGTGCTGTGTGCTTGTGCTTGGAAGAAATCTGGAACTTACCAAAATTGGATTGGGCGAAGCTTGGTGATGATGGAAGTTGAAAATGGGAAGCGGCAGAAAAAAGCTGAGGCGCGCGAGGTTTTGAAGCTGCAACGGTTGTGGGGCCGCCGGGAAAAATTTCGGCTGCAAGTTTGGGTGGGGTAATCCAATGGCGGCAGGCCGACGGGAGCTCGATAACGATAAAGAGGTGCATCCAACGAGCGGGATTCAGCAGGGTCACGTGAAACCGTTGCTTATTCGCGTGGGGCACGCTCCAGTTCCTCCACGTTCGTTACTTGTTTGACGCGTTCTCTTCAATGAGGTCATCACCAACTTAAAGAAACCATCGTCCGACCGATTCATAGTAAACAAAACTTGGAACATGCCTGAAATCGCGGAGAGTATGATGTACCAATACTCATATCAACATGCTCTGAAGCTGACTGGTAGATAGTTGCGCGTGCTGTCCACTTTCTGCGCCTGCACTTTGTAGGCAAGGTCATCAAGCATGCAGAAGCCATTGATGACGGCAATGTGTTTGGAAAGGTCGGTACAGATGGACCCAAGATGGCGGCTGGCCTTATTGGCAAGAAAATTGTATCAGCAGGAACTCAGGGCAAATATTTTTGGTCAGTCGCCGCACAGACGCATTGCTTGCCTTCTTTTGTTTTCCCTAACTGACTGATGTCCAGGATGGAATTGAGCAAGGCTCCTCATCTTGTAATGCACTTTGGGATGACTGGCTGGATCCATATCAAGGGCGAGAGGACAGCATACACAAACTACTACAAGAAGATGAAGCCTGACGAACACGACAAATGGCCGCCCAAGTATTGGAAGTTCAAGATCGAGACAGAAGATGGCGATGAGATGGCGTTTACCGATCCGCGGCGCTTTGGCCGTGTCCGTGTTGTGGACTGCCCTGGAAAGGACATTCGGAAGTACTCACCTTTGGTGGAAAACGGTCCAGATCCGGTGGTCGACCTCGATGTGTTCACCGAAGATTACTTGCGGGAGAAGATGAAGTCGCGCCGCGTGCCCATCAAGGCTCTTTTGCTTGACCAGGCTGTTATTAGTGGCATTGGAAATTGGGTCGCTGATGAAGTATTGTATCACGCAAAGCTTCACCCGGAACAGTACTGCAACGACTTTAGCGATGCTGAGATGAAGCAGCTTTACGAATCCATCCGATATGTGTGCCATACGGCTGTGGACAAGCTTGGTGATTCCGATCAGTTCCCAGACGACTGGCTCTTCAACTACCGCTGGGGCAAAGGCTCCAAGAATGCACACAGTCACACTCCCAACGGCGACAAGTTGGCCTTTCTCACTGTCGGCGGGCGCACGAGTTGCTATGCACCCGCCAGGCAAAAGAAAACCGGCCAGATTGTGTCCGGTGTGAAAGAAGAACCCCTTGAGTCGGCTGAAGAGAAAGACTCCCCGAAGGAGGCACCGGGAACGAAGGGGGCCAAATCAAAAAACAAAAGTGAGGAGCTAGAAGCCGATGGGTCAGAGGTGAAGGCGGAAAGGGCCACCTCAAGGAAGCGGAAGATCAAGCTAGAAGAAGATGACGAGATGACTTTTACGCCAAACAACGCAAAGGCACGTCCCTCAAAGAAGCCTACGCGCTCGCAATACTTTGAAGACGCCAGAAAGCCGAAAGGGGACGCAGGGCAAACAGAAGAAGCCAAGGTTGACATCTCAGGAAGAAGACGCTCGGGTAGGTTGCAGAGTAAAGCAGCTTGACCGTCATATGCTGTTTTTGCTTCTCTCGAGTTTCTCACCTTCTCGGGGCCAGACAAGATTTCCAACATGGGAACAGCTGAAGTCTATAGACTTCTGCCCTTTGGCTGGCTAGAGACATGGGTGGTCTGGCGAACACATCTCAGAGAGACGATTGCCGCCCATCCTAGAGCTGATTCGCCCGGCAATTTCCATCGTGGTTACAGCCGCAAATCTTCCGAGCTGCCTTCCATTCCCACCCGTGGGTATCTAGACTATGTCATTTATTCATGGTCGGAAAAAGACAGCACCATGGGTATCTTGCCATGCCTAGCTCCAGTCATCTCGCTGGTCTCCCGCAAGGTCAATGGAACTAGGTGTGGGTCTTCGCCTAGGCAAGACTGAAAATATTCATCTTTTCCCGTCAACACGATCTTGGCTTGCGAGAGCCTCAAGATCTCTGATATAACGACCCACACCTTTCCTCCCCTTATTTCTCACTAAGTAGCATCTGGTAGCGCTGTGTGGGCTTTTGACTTGGTTTTCTAGCTATCTTTACGTATCTCTTCCCTCTCTGTCTAAGATCCCTCTTCTCTTCCGCACCCGAGATGGTGCGACTTGGGGCCGACACTTGAGGCCGAGAAGTCCATCTTGTTGTAGTCTCACCACTTGAGGCAGTTAAATATGCGGTCCAATCTGCTCGCTTTACGGGATAGCTTTCCCGGATTGACCAGTGCGAGCGGCTGTACCCTGCAAGCTACTTGCGTGCTATGAAGTTTGGGGGTCACCGTTCCAGAACACGGTCTATGTACGGGTCGTTATCTAGGCTGTGCCGCGGTCATGCAAGCTACACTATATTCCCTTTGCTTTGGTCTTTCTTCGTCTTGTAACTGGACCCGGCTTGAGCAAATATCACTAGCCTTGTCCCGAGTGAAGCGGAAAAGTTCACCCTTGCCAATAGTCCTGTTACCCTAGCTGTCAGCTTTGTTATCTTTATGCAACTTCACCCCTCCATACCGTGCCGACATGCCGAAATTCGGCTCTTCACTGCCATGAGAGTACCTATGGAGTCCCCGTGGGGAGAGGGGTACTCTTGACGAGCGCTTAAAGGATAATCTGGGGATGCGAGTGGGGACAACATGAAGCGATCTTCGATGACATCCCGGTTCGCCTACGCCGTTTTAGCTTACGGGTGGTCTTCCTTACTTAGATGGTGAATGAAGAGTATACGTAGGTACATACATACAGCACTTTGAATCACGTTCGGCCATATTTGGCTATGTCTTTTAGTGGCTCGCCTGCCTTTTCTTTTTGTGTTGTTATCTAAAAAAATCGATCCCCGGTGTTTGTCAAGATTCGGAACATTCGGCTTTCATATCTGCTTTGCGTATCATCCGTCTCAGTCTCCTCCGTATCGTGATGGTATGTCCAGATATGGTCAACCTGCAACAGTCTGTGGCAATTGCTAGGCTCCCTTCAAGGACGCCTCGACGTTAGGGATGACGGACGCCAAGGAACCTGGTGTCTTTCATGGTGGTGGTGATCGAAATGGTGGGTTGCATTATTGTCTCGGAGGCGTTCCTGAGACAGCAGGATTATTTTCTCTCTTTTCTTTTTTCCACCATCAGCATCTGTGACATTTAGCCTCAAAAGGTGTGCCCAATGGAATGATTGAACCCCAGAAGAAATCCTGCATGCGCGTCAATGTACATGCGATGATGCAAGAAGCAAGGTTGGCAGATAGTTGAATGGTCGGTAGCTGAGCCGTAGCTTTTTGAAAGCGCTCATTAGCTAACAGATCTGCTCGAATAGCATGAATAAGTCTGTTAGGTAGTAGCGTGACACATCAAAATGTAATTATTTCCAGAGCATGTATGCAATCAAGCCTGAGTCGGGATGATAGGTAGCACTTTTCAAGCCCAGAACAGGACATTACCAACCACTAAGCAGACGGATGTCAATGACCCCTCCAACAAGCTCGACAGCAAAGAGGGAAGTTGCGACATCGTTGTGCCCCCTCGAAGTTGCCCGTGTTGTTCGAGAATGATCGCTGTGTGCCCTGGGCTGTGGTGTATCGTAGCAATTGTTACTTTTCGAGACGTCTGATTGGCCGAGACAACACAATTCGATCCCTATCAGATAGGAACCTTGACGGCCAGGCAGTTCTTGCTCTTTCCTGCCAGTACTCATACTCTAATCCTTCCGTCCCTCCTTCTTTCTCATTCTCATTCTTGCGAGTTTCGGTGATGATTTGGAAGGAAGAAAGGACACCGGATTCTCCTGGACATTGTGGGGCAAGCACATGTCAGAAATGCAAGCGTTGTTAAGTTGCAGCCAAGCGGTTTCAGGGATACCTCTAGGCGACGGGATGGCAGCTACAGTTGTAGGCCGTAGACGCCGTCACGCTTGCAGGCGCCGAGGGTTCGCTGGAAGCGGAAAGGGTCGTTTGCGCGCGCGTTGAGGCCGAGCAGAGCGACGGAGAAAAGCACGTGTTGTTCGGGCCACTTCGGAAATGGAGAACTGCAAAGAGAGTCAAATCCGGAGATGGTGCAGTTGGCCTTCCTCTTCGAGAGTTTTCCAAGCTTTTCCATTCGTGCTTGATAGGGTAACGTTCGATACCCAGGACAGTGGAGGTTGTGCAAACACTCCATGCTGCAGCCGCCCGCGGAAAACCGTTATCGGTCAGAGGGAACAAACACAAGCCAAGGAAAAAGATAACGAGCTCTTGTCTTGTTCGTATCCGGGGATGCATCATCGATGACAAGGTAGGTAATATAAATACTCCTTGTTTGTGTACCTATTCTTACAGCAAAACACTCCTGTGGACGGATATTAAGGATAAGCACAAGGTTGTGAATGGGACGATCCGCTGTCGCCATCGCATCCAAGCGGGAGGCGCATTTGGCCCGAGGTCGTTCATCGAGGTTGCGACCGGACTGCGAGCCGTTCGCCTAAGCCCCAAAGTACGAGCCTCATATTAAAAAGTCTCAGCATCTCGCGCCGCGGCATTGGCATTCCTCTTCTCCGACACATCGATTGATTCCAAACTGAACTGAGTCTTGGTCTCCGTATGTACAAAGACTTAATTTACCTAGCGATACCGAGGTAATACCACCTATCCATTCAATGTCCTTGACCCGACTTCCTTCCCAGAACGACATTGAGGGACATCGTTAGTGGACCCACTCCCCCTCAAAGCCCAGACAATTCGCAGACTTTCCCGGACTTTGGTAGAAAAAAAGGTTAGGTTAGCCGGGGAGCCCGACTGCCACCCATCGAACCAGAGCGTGCGAATCTGAAAAGGAAAACCCCACGACGGCAAATTGGCAGCCCTATCACAGTTTAGGTTGATCAATATAGTCGGGTCCTTGATCTACCCGCTACCCGCGCGACTCTTTTACCCAAGACAGTTTTTCAGCAAAGACTCACTGCGAATACCCGACGCTCGTTCCACTCTCTCTCTCTCTCATTGCTCCCGTCGGCCGACAAAGAGCGCATATCGGCTTCAAGTCGTTCGAGTGTCTGGACGTCAATCTTGAACTCAGCTACGAGGGGCCAAAGCCATTTATTTCCTTTGCGCCGCTTGCCGTTCCCGAGAGAAGCTGATCACGAGACACACACTGGTGACTGTTCCGTTCTTCGGACTTCCATCTCGCCAAACACAATCGAAACATCCTCTCTGCAGACATGGCCGAACAATCGCAACAACTCAATGGCCATGTGCCAGAGTCCCATCAGCATCAGAATGGCAATGCCGAGACCACTCCCCTTCTCTCGACTGACTTGCAGCAGCAGCACGAGGGCAAAGATGCCTCCGCTCCTCCGCAGAGCGCAAAGTCGCCCTCGGCGTCCAAGGAGCTCTATCCCATGAGCAATTGGAAGTACGACACCTTTCTGTGGACCATGTCCTTCCTGGTCGATACCTTCTTCCGTGAAGTCCATCCCCGTGGTTCTTGGAAAGTGCCCCGCAGCGGCCCAGTCCTCTTCGTCGCCGCACCACATGCAAACCAGGTTCGTGCTCGTGCTCGTGCTCTACTCTCTCGATGCGTGACGTCAAGCATACCGGGACTTTTTCGCTGACCCTACCGTCTAATATGCAGTTCGTTGACGCCCTAGTACTACAACGCACCCTGCGAAATGAGGCTAAACGCCGCGTCTCCCTCCTCATCGCACAAAAGTCCGTCAAGGGCTTCATCGGCTGGGCTTCTCGGCAGGTCGGTTCCGTCCCTGTCGGCAGACCCCAAGATTCGGCCAAGCCTGCTGAGGGTACCATCTATCTTCCCGACCCCATCGACGACCCGACCCTCATCCGCGGCGTCGGCACAAACTTCGAGAAACAAGCTGAAGTTGGCGGTATCATCTTCCTCCCCTCCATCAAGGGACAGAGCGGCTCGAACGTCGAGATTGTCGAAATCCATGGACCCGAAGAAATTCGCATCAAGCGCCCCGTCAACTCCAAACTCGCCTTGTACCAACTCACCGGACGCGACGATATCGATGAACACGGCGAGCTCCAGAACAAGGAGGTGAAGGGAATCAAGGACGGTTATCAGGGAACAAAATTCAAGATCGCACCACATATCGATCAAACCAAGGTTTATCAAGCTGTGTTTGATCGGCTCAAGAATGGTGGCTGTGTTGGTATCTTCCCAGAAGGAGGCAGCCACGACCGCAGCGAGCTGCTGCCCTTGAAGGCTGGTGTTGCAATCATGGCCCTGGGAACGCTGGCAGAAGCCCCTGACTGCGGCCTCAAGATTGTGCCGGTGGGCATGAATTATTTCCACCCTCACAAGTTCCGGTCAAGGGCTGTCCTCGAATTCGGCGCTCCTTTCGAGGTTCCCAAGGAGCTGGTCGAAATGTACGGCATCAAGGATAAGAGACGTGCTGCCATCTCCAAGCTTCTCGACATGGTCCATCAAAGCCTGAGCGCGGTCACTGTTTCGGCCCCGGACTATGACACCCTGATGGTCATCCAGGCCGCGAGACGCCTGTACAACCCCGCGGGCAAGAAGTTGCCTCTGCCTATCGTGGTAGAGCTAAACCGTCGCCTCGCTCTCGGGTACGACAAGTACAAAGATGATCCCCGCATTATTGAGCTGCAAAAATCTGTCGCCGAGTACAACAAGCAGCTTCGATATCTGAATATCCGCGACCACCAGGTACAATACGCAAAGCTGTCGTGGCCCAAGGTTGTCATCACTTTCTTTTACCGTGTCGCCAAGCTCCTGGTGTTGTCAGCGGGTGTTCTCCCAGGCTTGATCCTCTTTGCCCCTGTCTTTATTGCAACCAAGCGCATCAGTCACCAGAAGGCCAAGGAGGCGCTTGCTGGATCGACGGTCAAAATCCAAGGCAAGGACGTGATTGCAACCTGGAAGATGCTTGTCGCTATGGCTGTTGCACCCATTTTGTATAATCTATACACATGCTTGCTAGCCTACATGGTGGGCAAGCACCGCCTCTGGGGTTATGTGCCCGACTGGGTTCCCATCTGGCTCGTCTACTTCTTTGGATGGGTTTTCTTCCCTGCTATTACTTTTGCTGCGCTACGTTTCGGTGAGGTCGGGATGGACATTCTCAAATCCCTGCGCCCACTTGCGCTGTGCATCAGCCCCACGTCGAGTTACAGTCTTCAGAGTCTCAAGCAAAGGCGAGAAGAACTCAGTGCACAGGTTACGCACCTCATCAACACCCTCGGGCCCGAGATGTTCCCAGACTTTGAGCACATCCGTCTCGTTGCGGCTGACGGCTCATCGCGCATTCACGCCGACGGCACCGTTTCGCCGACGCAGCCATTTAAGAGACGGGACAGCGGCGTTTCCTCGCCCCCCATCTCCACTCCCGGGATTTCCACGCCCGGCACCGAGAGCCCCCATGGTCTTAGAAGAACCGGTACCACGTCGTCCAGTCGCAACATTCCACGTAACGAGTCGTTTAGCAACATTGGACAGGTGCCCATGTTCGCTACCCGACCACCTAGCCGAAGCCGCAGCCGCAGCAGCAGTGCAGGCGGCGGTGGCGGTAACGTCCAGTTTGGCGGGCCACTTGGTGGGTCCCCTGTTGACAAATTCCCGAACCTCAACACGGAAGAGGGCTTCAATGAGGCGAGCAAGAAGATTCGCGAGGCAATGCGTGAAAGAGGCGAGATGAGGAGGAGGAAGAGCCAGGGTAAGGTGTATACCTTTAGTGAACAGTCGGTAGATGAAGAGGTGGAGGACGAGGTGTCGACGGGAAGTTCTGTGGATGAGGACGGAAAGAAGCACCTGTGAGAAGCAGGGGCTCGGACCGGAGCAAGAGATCAGAACATTTCTAAAAATCACCGTTGGGGATATCTTTACCGCTATATTTGACACCCGTGTTATAGTTTTGGCTTTTCTTCTTTTGGTTGTATACCACTTATGGGTTGGGCTTTTCTTTGCTTTGGTCATGGCGAGGCAGCTCTGGATGCGCCCTGACTCATTAAAAAGATTTTATAGGGGAACAGCGGATGTTGTATGGTGCAAGTGTGGGCAATAAAGAAGACAGAGGGAGCGAACAGCGAAAAAGATAGCGAGATGGACCACGGAGATAGAAATCATATACATAATTTGGGAGGTTTCTTCAAACTCACACGCGTTGCCGGCTGTTTCCCTTTTTCTTCAGCCTCTCATGGATCGGTTGGGATTGCACAGAGAGATTTCGAGCGTGGTTCTTTAATGGAGCTTTTATACATGCATAGCATCGTCATCTTTGTTGTTGATTTGCATTTTCCATTTGACGTGTCATCTTATCGTGGTGCCCCATCAACGAGCAGACTCTCAGGAGGGAGAGGAGAGAGTTTGAAATCACGGTTGTCAAACCCAGTGTCCTTGGATTGAGAGTCCGTGTACTGTTTTGGCAACGAAGATAGAAGTGTAGACTAATGTGTACTTTGTAGATACAAACAAAACCCGCCTCACTTTTGCCATACTTGGAAGTCCAATGTGTACAGAGGTGGTTTCTACTTGACGTTCACACAGCACTTGATATGGATCGCTTCGTGCCGTCGTCACAGGGTCCCGATGATCAGCGATCTTATCACTTACATAGATTTAACGGTCGGGAGCACACCGTGCTGGTGATCAAGTAAGCGGAAGTGGTTAGGCGGCCTTGCTCATGGACCTCGGGGTTTGGGTTCGGTCGTTGCGGTGTTAAGCAGAACCCTGCCCTGCCTACACCACCAGCCAAGTGCTACAATAAGCTTATCAGATGGAGGATTGTTCGGATATTCGGATCTGATAATTCGTACATAAAAGACCATTCCTTCCTCTCTCCATCGCCAGGCACAGAAGACCAAACAAACTACCAAACCTCAATTGCAATGACGCAATCAAGTAACTTACAGGCTGTTCGAGGAAGGAAATGTACTTTGTTCGTTAAGACTACGGCGTCCCCACTTGGTTTCCTGCCCACGCTGTCACAACGCTTTTCCGGGCCATTCAAGGTACGCCAAGCGGCTCAGTTGCTCAAGTGGTCCAGTCAAGCAACGGAATCGACAGACTGGGGATCACCCCTGACGGCGGAGGTTAGCACGGAGATAAGCGGGATTGACAGCCGACGGATACCTCTAGACGGGAGACTAAAGGATCCCGACGCCAATGGCCCCGCCGCCGCCGCCGCCGCCGCTGTCTTCATCTTTATCAGGTGCTCATCCCCCGGCTGTTTCTAGCAACTCTTCTCGGGACAACAAACCCCCCAAAAAAACCAGGTTGGAAATCCAAAATGTTCAGATCCCTCCTCTCCAGCGCCAAGTCCTTGGCTATCGGCGACTCAGGCAACAAAGCCACCAAACCCGAGGATCTCTTCCCCGTTGTGTCTAAAGAGGTTGACGGCGACGACTGCGACCATGATTGCGCGACCTGCACCATTACGTACCCGCGCTCCTTCAAGATCGACGAGGAGGATAAGTTGTTTGGTCTGATTAAAGGGTGGGCAACTCATGTGCTGGTGGCTACGGGGAAGACGGACTGGGTGCGCGATGTGGCGGATGAGAAGGGGAGTGTGATGCAGGCTATTGCGGGGGCTAAGGCGCCTGCTAACGGGGTATGTTTATGTTTTTTTTTTTTTTTATCATTTAAAAACTCTCCCACTTTCCGACGTATCAAGATATACAAACATAACTGAAGTACTGACTGGCCATGAACAGAAACTAATGCTCTCGGCCTCCAACATCCCCACCCCGCACCATCCCCCTTCCTACTCGGAACCCACCACCCTCCTCCTCCTCCCGGCCTTCATCCTAATCGAAAACGTCACCCCAGCCACCGTCCCCTTAGTTTTGGAAAAAATCATCTCCCAAGCCCCGACCAACAGCACCCCTCTCGCCCCTTTCAGTCTTCCACGCTCGCTCGAGGCGCCCCTCCCCGAAGCTTCCCCCGCCTACATCAAGGAACTCACCACCCGGCCCTGCCCGCACCAAGCCTTGATCCTGCTATGCTCGCAAAAGACGCGCGATGCGCGATGCGGACAGAGCGCGCCGCTGTTGAGAAAGGAGTTGCAGAGACATTTGCAGCCCCTGGGGTTGTATCGAGACTTGGACGACGAGCGGCCGGGTGGGGTGGGGATTTATTTTATTAGTCATGTGGGTGGACACAAGTACTCTGCGAATATGTTGGTGTATAGGCGGCCGGATGCTTTTGGGTTGGATCATGTGGAGAGAGCCAAAGCAGAAGGGGATCAGGAACTTAGGCCGAAGAAGCCTGAGGAGTTGAGGAGGAAACAAAGGGGGGTTACTAAGGAAGGGGAGGAGGGTAAAGGGCAAGAGGAGGAAGAGGAAGAGAACGGTGAGGTGGGTGCGGCGCAATGTATCTGGTTGGCCAGAGTCAAGCCGGAGGATTGTGAGGGTATCGTCAAGTTTACCGTGTTGCAGGGCAAGGTGATTAAACCGCAGAGTCAGCTTAGGGGAGGATTTGATAGGCAGAGGGGGGTGTTGAGTTGGTGATGCCGTTTCCAGCCTTGGTTTTTTTTTTTTTTTTTTTTTTTTTTTTTTTTTTTTTTTTTTTTCAGGTATTATTGTTTTAGCCATAAAGTGTACTTATAGACCAAGTTCTCAAGAGTCACAAGTAGGTATCATGGTGATGCGATTGGAGATGGGCATGTCTAAAGTGAAAGTGGGGTCAATTGGGGAAGCCAAACAGCATTCACCACCGGGCAATCCAGCCGCCATTCTTCAACCACTGCAATGCATGCATGCATGTTCCATTCGACGACGCACGTTGACTGCCAGGTCCACCAGCAGCAACTCGCTTCAGTTCGCTAAACAAGCACCTTGTACTGATTAGAGCAGCTGCCAGGTTTACCTACACGGGAACTTGATGAGGATAATCGAATCGCTTGCAAGGCGAATTGAGGGGGAGGCCCCCGCGCCGTAGAGTGAGTGTAACTGTGCAATTCGAGAATACCCAAACTGGAATAACTGCTGATGTTTTCCTAGTGTAAATTCTGGAGGGGATGCGGTGCAGCTGCAGTGCCCTGTGGTGCATCTGTGACACCAGCAGCAGCTACTTATGTAGCTGGGTGGCAGGGCAGTTGCAGTTGCAGGAGGTGTGCTGCGTGGCATGCCGTAGTGGCCGCCTTGGGACCTGCCTCAAAAGCAAAGGGAAGCTGACGGGGCCGGGCCATAGGTTAGGTAGTCTACAAGTAGTGTAGTAGTTGCTTGAAGTTGTCGACTCGGTCGGTTTCCAGGGAAAGGGAAGGAAACTAAAGATGGTGAGATGGCTGACTGACTGCCTGGGCAACGGGGGGGTAAACATTGCCTCGATTGGCTGCGATATCTATGACATGGATCGATGCGGGACCTCAGACTGGCGGGACCGGGAAGAGCGAAGGATGGAAGTGCTTGGTGAATGGAGTCTTCTTGGGACTCTGTCCCTTTTTACTGGTCCCCTCGTAACAAGGTCCCGGTCTCCAAGAAGCAAGGTCCTGGGCTGTCCGACTCCGACCTCCATCATTCCAGCGTCATTCCCAGCAGGTTTTCTTGGTGTAGTATTCTACTTAGTTGAAGCTATTCTTCTGCATCCCGCCTTTTTCATTCGGGTTTAGTTGATATCTATTCTTTTTTTTTTCTCCTTTCCCCATCGTTGGTGCTGTTGACTGTTTGCTTGGTCAGCGACGGTCTCTCTGGTTGGTAATAATTCCCACCAGACTCCGGTACCTGAACACAACTAAACTAAACTGAAGTGAGCCAAGCTGAGCCTCCCTCCTTATTAGGACTTGCTAGACCGACTACAGTTCTAAGCTAGAACTAGTCCAGCATCCTTCCACCACCCGTTCTCCGCATCTGCCCAGCTTCGGCTATCAAGGTTATTTCCACAGCATTAACCTACACTACACACACCTCCATCCCATCCCTCGTTCATCGATTGCCAGGGGCCGGGCCATCATACCACACCTCTCCCTCCCTCCCTCCATGACGGCTAGTGTACACCGACCACGAAATCGCGACGACAACATCAACAGCTTTCCACCATCAACAGCCAACTGAACTGACGGACGTCAATACCCCGTGAACAAGCCGAGACACGTCCGCGTACGACGGACGCCCATCGCGCCCGCCCCCTGCTGATCACCCGTTACGGGCCTTTGTTTTGACCATCAGAAGAAACGTTTCCACCGCCTCCTCCAAGTCCCTTTTCCCACCCACTCCTTGTCGCAAAGCCAGCAGCAGCTGAGTCCGGCCTCGCCCTTCACAGCCTGCCGCCGCCATGCCTCCCGCCGCGGATCTCTACGGCGGCGTTTCTGCCTACCGAACAGGCTCAGGCGACGGCATGCGCGATAGAAACTACAATAACAACAACAACAACAATAACAGCGACAATAGTGATAACAACAACAACAACAACAACAACAACGACCTGCCGCCCTTCTTCCCCCTCCAAAACCAAAACCAGGTCCAGCCGCAACAACGCCCCAAATCCTCCTACCTTCGTCAGCTTATGAGCCACAAGAGAAGCAATACCGTCGGAGCCGGCCAGGTCCAATTGCCCCCTGCTGTCTTCTCGACCGATTTCCAAAAGTCTTCTGACAGCGACCACCATCATGTTATGTCGTCCTCGGCTGCTTCCGTTATCGACCCTGATTCTCCTGAACTGCTGCGCCCTCCCAACAAGATCAACCCCGACCTGGTGGCCCAGAGACACAGTTGCGACATGAACCTGACTGGATACCAGAGACATCAATTCGCCGCCGCCCTCTGTGAGCTTCGGCCCAACCAATTGGACGACCAGCCACCACGATCCCCCGAAAAGAAATCGAACCCATTTACGACCATCTCGCTTAAGTCGCCCTTCGGACTCAGGGATTCCAGCAAAGCCTCCAAGAACAAGGGAGACCAATCACCCACCAAGCCCAAAAAGGTCAAATCAGCCGCCAATATCGGTCAGCTTCTGAGGCCAAAGTCTGACAAGAATCTGAGGCAGCAGGAACAGGAGGAAGAAGAGAACAGTCGCCGTCGCAACAAAGACAAGGAGAACCGCGCGCCAAGTGCCATTGATACCAGCCCACCACCACCCATCTATGCCCAGTTTGCCAGGGGTTCGCCCTTTGCGCTGCCTCCAGAACTGAACTCGTCGACCAAACCAGTGCCTTCGCCGTTGGACTACAGAAACCCCTTCTGGGATAGTGGCAAACCATTGCCGGCTGACCCAGATCGTCCCGGAACAGGCGGGACACGGTCGTCCATAGCTGAGAGCCAACATTTGAAGTCCGAAGCGGAAAACCGCGAGCGAGATCGAAACAACAGCCGCTCCAAATCACGGCCAAAGACGTTTCACCAGTACTTTGCGAGCAACAGTCAGCAGGACGAGAAGCGTACACCGTCAGACTCGAGCACCGACACTCGGTACAAGCAACCGCAATCTGACAACCAGAACCAGTCATCACCACAGGAAAAACAAGAACGAAGTTGGAAGAGGCAAACGTGGGCCACCGCCAAGACATCAGATTTGGCAGCAGGCGGAAGTTCAGGATCAGACAGGTCAAGCCAACGACTCAACGTTAAGAGCATGTTTTCCAGTTCTGGTAACGGTGGAGGAAGTAGTAGCTCAGCAGGAGGAGAGCGTTCCAAATCAGGAGCAACAGCAGCAGCAGCAGCAGCAGCAACGCAATCTACCAGTATGGAACGGCAACAAAGTGCCCCACCTCTGCTTCAACAGCACATTGACCCCAAGGATATCGACAAGCACCTCGAGGCCATGTTGGACCGGCGCAACATTCCCGAAAACCAGCGGTACAAGATGCGCAACCTCAACGACACCATCAAGTTGGAATTCATCCGGCAGGACTGGGCAGAAATGCAGGCCAAGATGGTGAACCAGAACGCGAGCAATACGTCTCTTGAGAAGGGAGGGAACGCAGGCAGTGTCAATGGTGGTGCCGGGTCAGAACGGGAAGATCAACAGCAACAGCAGCAGTCATCCTCTAGTTCAAGACGGGAGGACGGTAACAGCAAGGATAAGGATAACGAGAGAACGGGCAGGACGAAGAAGAAAGGATTCGGTCTATCGCTTGGTAAGGGAGCCGCCAGCAAGGCCCAGTCGTCACCCACCAAGAGTATCGGTCGGCACTTCAGGTCCAAGTCCAACGACAGCAGCATGAATGAGCGACCGTCGTTTGGTGATGTGAACGGTAATTCTGGTGGGAACGGCGTGGGCGGGTTCTTGGGTATGAAAGGTGGAAAGAGTCAGCAGGTGCCGGCGGACTTTGTTGCTTACCTGCAAAAGGTGCATAAGCCAGAGCTGGTGGAGGTTGGTAAACTTCATAAGCTTCGGTTGCTGCTGAGGAATGAGACCGTTGCTTGGACCGAGGAGTTTATCAAGCAAGGGGGGATGAAGGAGATTGTGGATTTGTTGCATCGGATTATGGCTGTTGAGTGGCGGTGAGTTTAGATTCGCAACAGGATCACCTATGATGGACGAGTATTGACTGACCATTTCTTCGCGCTGCAGGGAGGAACACGAAGACGCCCTTCTGCACGAAAACCTTTTGTGCCTAAAGGCCCTCTGCACCACCGCCCTGGCACTGCAATACCTGCACACCATCCACGCCACCCTGTTCCCTGCCTTGTTGCATCTGATCTTCGACCCCGAGAAGAAGGGGCCGAGCGAGTTCACAACACGCAACATCATCACCTCGATTTTGCTCACCTACATCGAATGCGCCACGCCGCAAGAGCGCATAACCCGCGCCCAGACAATTTTACAGTTCTTGCGAGACCCCGAGACGGAAGAGGAAAAGAAGCCAGTCAACTTTATCCTCGAGATGAGGCGCGAGCGGCCATACCGTGTATGGTGCAAGGAAGCCGTGAGCGTGACCAAGGAAGTCTTCTGGATATTCTTGCACAATATGAACATTGTTTCCTTGCCCCCAGCGGATTCATCATTAAGTGGCAGTTCCGGCGCCGGCGGAGGGTCGAGTGGCATCAATGGCGAGCAAAAAGATACTCAGCAACAACAACTATACCAAGCAGGCATTATCGATCCCTCAGCCTTAACACGAAATGACACGGAGTCAGGAGGTGAAGACTCAGAAACCGCAACCCCCGCCCAGTTGGCCTACATGTCCCGACACTTCCCACAAGAACGACCGCCCGTGCCCGCGGCCCCTTACGTCGGTGGCGTTGAATGGGACGCGACCAATTACCTTGCCAGCCACCTGGACCTGATGAACGCCATCATTGCATGCACGGGTCCTACAGCCACCGAGCGTAACGCGTTGCGCGCCCAGCTGCGCATCTCGGGCTGGGAGCGCTGTCTGGGCGGCAGCCTGCGGATGTGCAAGGAGAAGTTCTACGGGTCCGTTCACGACGGGCTGCGGACCTGGGTTGCGGCCGCGGCGGAAGACGGCTGGGACGTGCGTGATGTGCGGTTTGGCCCGCCGCCGGAGGGCAGGGGCTACAGTCCGATGAAGAAGACGCCCGGGAAGAAACCAAGGGAGGAGGCGCCG